AAAGCAGGAATCGGCGATGGAACCAGAATCGGCCAGAACGGGGAAGTAGGCCAGAATCGGTCTCAGAACCCATGGAGAGAGGCTTTTTTTCCCGCGAGTTCATTGCGGCGGGACCGCGGCGCGGGCGCGCCGCGCGACTTCGCTGGTTCAGCGAGGCGCGCAGTCGGCGGTCAGGGTGAACAGGTTGTTTTCAAGGCGATATCCTGGCGGCGCGCTGGCGCATTGCGCATTTGCGTATTCCTGGCGGGCTGTTTGAGGGCGACCCGGCAGCGTCGGCCGAATGGCCCGCAAATGCCGCGCGGCCGATCGCGCGCCCCACGCGGTCACGTCGACCGCCGTGTGCCGCGACGGCCGCGCGCCCCGGACCGCGCCATTCCCGCGTTGGATTGGACGGCGCAGCGCCCGTCCTCCAAAAGTCGTTACATGCATATCGCGCGTGTCGAGCCAGCAGCAATCGCTCCCAGAAGCAGCCTTGACAGGCGCCCCATGCCCGTTGTCGCCCGGTTCCGATCCAAATCATAGTTTCTTAGGATGCGCTTGCGCGAATGCGAGCGCGCGGGCAAGTAACGCGTGCGCGCGCTCGGCGCAGCCTGGGAAATCTTACATGGAGCCCCCCGGGGGCGCGGGGCGCCGGCGACGCTTCTGCCCGCCTCCCGCGCGCCCGACCCCCCCCGCAAGCCGACTCCTCCTATAGCACCCTCCAGATCGTCGGCCTCTAGGGGCGGGGGGGGGGGGCGCGTAGTCCTTGCTTCAGTCATGCAGGTAGCAGCGGGGCAGAGTCGTCCATCTGTAATGGCTGACGACTTCAATGGCGCCGCTACAGCGACGGAGACAGGCCTGCCCGCGCTCGCACGCGTTCAAGTTTCTTTGGGGCCAGACAAGCCCACCTTCGACAATGAGAAGATCAGGTGTGCGATTGGACATTGCAGTTCTAGTCGTATACCTAGTCGTCAAATCCGAATTTTCGAGATCCTATTGGTTCTCAGTGTCTCGAGCATAGTCTGAAGCAGCCTGGGGCCTTAGCCGACTACCATAGCCATTATCTAAGCCACCTTTTCTCACCCCGCTCGGATCCTTTTTTCGGCCCTTGGGGCCGCGCAATCAGGTGGTTCCGAAGTTTGGTGAGCTTGAGATTTGGGGAGGTTTCCCTGGCGAGGTTGAGCCGACAAGGCCCGCGCAATTTCTTCGCCAGACCTCGCTGAAGCCACGGGCGCGGCCACAGCGCGGGCGACGCGCCCGCCGCCCGCGGCGCCCCCGCCGACGCACCGCGCAGGAATGCAAGGCGCGGGGGCCCAGGCGCCCGCGCCCTAGTGGATCAAAGCGAACGCTGTCGAATGGCAGGCGCCGAAGAATTGGGGGAACGCAGTTGCCAGTCTTGAGGGGGGCGAGGAGCTGGATGAAACATGTCAGATAAGTTATTGGACAGGGGCAGCCGGGGGAGATGCAACAGGCCCAGCCTCACCTCGCGTCGCCGCCGACAGATTCAGCGCAAAGTGCCAAGTATTCTGCCTCGTCTTCTAGCGCCAGAACGCGCGCGCAGGCCGCCCTTCTGATGGTCAGGAGCAGGCGATCGCAGATTTGGACTCCAATCGAGGGCGGAAAAGAAGGGGGTGATGACTGGGGGGGGGGGGGGGATATCATGGCGTAGGATATGATATTTCCCAAGATTTCATGGCGCTTCTCCGTATTTCATTACGTCCCTGGCCCCCCCGCTGGGCCGCGCACGTGCCGCCGGTCATGATTTGTACCCCCCCCCCCCTCTGGGACACCCCCCTCCTGGCCGCTCCCGATCCAAGCGCCCTGCGGGCCCCGGACAGCGAGCCCTCCCGGGGCCGCTTGGAGGACTGCAACGTTTGGGAACAATGTGTCAGCGAAGCTACGACTACAGGGATTGACCGGACTCGCGGGTGGAGCCATCCGTCAGCCAGTTGGCAGCCTCCCGGGGCTTTTTGAAACCCCGCCAAGCACAAATGGCCGGGGCGAACGGTTGATTTTTCGGAACCAGAGCATCAGCGCCTCTCGACGCTGTGGCAGTCAGTCCCGCAGCAAGCGGAGCATCACGTTGCTGAGGAGGGGGGGCTCGACTTCGACGACGCTGCCCCGTCTCAGTTGAGGGGCGCCACTGCAAGTTTCAGCGCGAGTACTCCCAGGCTGGGCTTCGCTTTCGCCATTTCAGCTTTCTCGAAGGATCCCGCTTAGGGCTCGTGCGCAGAACGAGATGATAGCGACTCTCCCAGTCCTCATCGAGCAGCGCAAGGCGGGGCCCGCGCCGGGCCCCGGCTATTGGGGCGTCGGCGCGATGCCTGGTCCGCGGAAGGTTTGGGTGACATGTCGCCTAGATGTTTGGTTCTCTGGAATGCATCCATTCTCGGGGCGAGTTTGCGCACCGAGCTGGAAAGATATTTTTGGTGGCCATCGTCGACCAGGCCATGGGGGCCGAGGGCCGCCACCTGGGCTCCAGGCAGGCGCGCGCTGGGGACGTCTCGCTGGGCATTATTGATCTGCGCGGGCACAGCGGTAGGCGCTTCTGGATGGGAGCGCGCGCAAGGCGCACTTGTTCGGACCCCCGTCGCTGCCATCGTTTGCAACTGGCGTCGGCCGCCCCGCCGTGGGCGCCAGGATCCTGGCTCCTCTTGCAGGGCGCCCCGCGCGCGGCAATGCTGCGGCACGCTGGGCGGCAATTTTTATAGTGCGGCAGTCTCGTTTGCCTCCAGCTGGCATTTGGGTGAAGAGCTACCCCGCGTTCAGACCGCGATCTAGCCACCAGTTCAAGACGAACGCACTGATCGTGGATTTTGTCTCGGCCTCAGGTTGCAGGCATCTGTCGATCGTTTGCGATTTGAAAGTTGGCGTCGCTCGTCATTCGGCGGCTGTCGTCGTAGCGCCCGCGCCAGGGACCCCAGCCAGTCTGGACAGCAAGCTCGGGCAGCGGGCTGGCCCTGGTGCCTAGGCGCGAAAGGGCAACCAGCTTCGCTTGCCTTTCTCGGCGAAGAATTGCACGTCAGTTGCCGGGCCACGGAGCGAATGCAGGAAGCTGAAAGAGGACGAACCCGCAGATTGCGCGTTTTCCGGGCGGCTGGCGACGGCGCAAATCAGGCGTTCGCAGCAAGCCGGGCCCGTCGGGTTTGTGGTTTTGGGACTCGCAGAGCATGAAGTGAGGCAGTCTGGGACCCCCCCGTCAAGATCGCAGGGCCCCAAGTGGCGCTCCTAGGGGGCGTAATTTGGAGGTCTCGACAGCGGCCGCGCCCGCACTTGCTCTGGGGGAGCGATATTCAGCAACAGGATGAGTTGTGGTTGGCTCGTCAGACCCCTTCGTTCGAATTTGCTGTTCTGGCTGTGGACATTTCCCTCGACGGGGAGAAGGCGGATTTGACGACGCTAGGTGCAGTGGCCGTTTGGGCCGCCCACACGCGCAGGTAGAGGCCTGGCTACTGGGGGGGGAGAAGGGGGGGTGCGAGACGGTTTCGATTGTTTGGCTGGGTGGTGGGGGCCCCTCGCCGTTCGGGACTCGGCAGGCCTCCTGGGGGCTGACGGCCCTGACGGCCACGCAAAGGCTTCAGGTGCGAGTCTCAAAGGAGCTCTTTCAGGTCATCATTGCGCGGCTGGCGGTGGCGGCGGCCTCGCAAGCACTGGGTTGGAGCAGGCATCCAGCCCCGCTGAGCTGGGGGCCGAGATGTGCTCCGTCTTGGCACATGCTACCAGCAGAGCGCTCGTCGCGATGCCAGCGGCCATGCTGACATGTTTTGATCCACGTGAATTCGGTCAGGCCGGCAGGGCGCCGTCGGCAGTTCTGGCCACTCGTATGCCCAGGTTACATCGCCTTCTAGGGGTACACTCCAGGCGATGCTTAAGAAAACCCAAGTTTTCGGCCAGAGTCTCGATTGTTCTTAGTGTTTCAATGTAGATCCTAAGATTTGAATAGACATTCTGGATTTTTATTCAAATTCTGAGACTATGAATTTCTTAACCCATGATTTCTAAAGCATCTCGCAGGGTGTACGTCTGGAGGAGGTTTCTGTTCGCGTGTGCCCCCCGCGCGCATCCGCCTCTTGTCGGATGGGGTGAGGTTGGGAAGTGCTGGCGGCCGGCTCAGAAAAAATACCCCACGGAGTTGTGCAAGCGTGCTCGCGCAGTCCATGCTGTAATCGCTTTTGACCACGCTTTCTGGGCAGTCGCGACTGCCAGATCCGAGCCTGGCGATGAACATGAGTGTGCGGAGATGTTGCAGCTTGTGTCGACTATACCTCCATTGATGTTTCTGCCCCAGCTACGGGGCCAGATTTTGCTTTTCGCTCGGCAAGCATCAGGAAGAAGGCGGCGGCAAGGACGGCTGATATTCTGGGGCTTCAGCCTCCTTAGTTTGATGCACCGCCGAATGAACGCATTGAGCTCGACTGTTCCCATCGCATTGCTACAGCGGCTGCAGAGGATCAAGTGGCCGTGGATTTCAGTCCAGACCGCGAGGTCGTGCATACAGATATTCCGGATTGCACAATAAAAGGGGTTGTTCTGATTTGGGAGGGGGTCTGATTTGAGCAGTTTTGGAGGCTTCCAGGGGTTCTCAAAGGGCCGCCCCTTCATGGCTGGTCTGCGGGGGTCTAGACTTGTTCGTCTGGGAGGGTTGTGGTCCCCTCCCTTTTATGACGAAATGCGGAGTCTGTTCGCCACTCTTGAAGCTCCGGCGGCGAGCGAGGGGGAGAAGTGAGAAGGAGAAGACCTCCTCAGCTTCTCGGAAGGCGGCGGGGCTTTCCAGAAGCCCGCTGGGCGTCTGATAGGTGAGAGGTCTTCTGTGTCTTCGGGGTCTTAAATAAGACAACTTCTTAGAAGGCCCGGGGACTTCCGAGCCTTCTGAGAGAGCCCGCCCCTTTTCACTTCCCCCCCGGCCTCGCCGGTCGTGAAGATGGTCGTCGCCGCCGTCGGCGGCGAGGCCCGCGACGCGCGACGGGGTCGTTGAAGTTGTCGTCAGCGTTGGCGTCGCCGCCGCCGCCGTCGCCGATGAGGCCCGCGACGCGCGACGCCGGCCGCCCCACGACGCGCGACGGGGTGGCGCTGCCGCCGCCGCTGGACGGCAGGCGCCCGCCACTCGCCGCCAGCCGGGCGGCAGGTGAGGGGGAGGGATAGCAGATCGGTACGAAGACCCCCCCCCGAAAACATTGAACGAAGACAGAAGGCCGCCTGCCCCACAGCGGCCGCTGCCGGGTATATGGACAACGTGTGTTGTTGGGCATCGTGCCCATTCTTCCCGTACCCGTTCTGGGCGTCCAGAACAGAGGAGGGACGTTTTCGAGGACCATCAGTCGTTGAAGGTACGGTGAGGGCATTGGATAAGGCACCATCTTTCTTTCTTTCTAGCTCGTGGGGTCCAGATCTGAAGGACAGCAATGACTTCGCATAGTCGTGCCTGTCACGCGTAGCAGAACCTCTAAGCCTCCCAACGGGGATTTTCCCTGAGGAGGCTTATCCTACGACGCCGACGATGTCTGCACAAAAGATGTAATCCACACTCGGCCACACAAACACGCACGGGCCCTGCCAGCACGCGCCCGATGCATATAACACCTTGGAGGTGCGGCCAGCCTGAGGCACGCGGGCCCTTCCCCGAGCGGGAACATTTGCCCCTCGAGCGACCACTCTTGCCCCCATTTCCACGACCAGGCGGCCTCACGGGAATGCTAACCGTCGGAGTCCCGGGTAAGCGTACCCCCATCCCCATCCTGCCACGGTATCTCAGCCCCACCATCCCACCACCCCAGTTGAGGAGAGGCGCCTCAAAACCCACAGGGAGTAGCCCATGTACCCATCCAGCGGGGTAGATCGGCCAGTGGGGCCCAGGCCACTCCAGTGGGGATCAGGATCGCTCAAACGAAGCTCATTTGAAAGGGAGAGTGGGGATGTACGAAGCTGGGGAGAGAGATATAGACGCAGACACTAATAAACGTCGATGCCCAGCCACGGGGTCGCGGCGTGCCATGGGCAGTGGGGATTACTCTGCGAACACAGCCTGGTTTGGTTCCCGCGGACGCTCGACCGTCCACAGCCAGTGGACAACGGTGAGCCAGACATGGGGACAGGGAGCGTGACTTAGAGGGGACCCCGCTGCCTCTAGGCCTCCTACATGGGGTCGGAGTAGACGGGGTCGGAGGATTGCGCCCCATCGCCGATGCATCGGCGATGCGGCGCGATGCCGAGCCCGATTTGCTCCGAGTCGACGTCGACGGTGCATCGCCGATGCATCGCCGGTGCATCGCCGATGCATCGCCGATGTATCGGCGATGCGGCGCGATCCTCCGACCCCATCTTCTTCGACCCCACCTAGGAGGCCTCTACTACCAGCGATGCGGCGCTACGGTGAGGTATGTAACCAGAGGATGACGTGCCGTGTGTGGCTTGAGCAGGTGGGAAGGGTCTGCGAGTGTGTTGTGCGAAGGGTCTGCGAGTGTGTTGTGCAATCTTCCAGCTGGCGCGTGTTGTTGGCGGGATGGTGTAACCTAGCTGGCTTCTGGCTTAGAGGTAACCAAACAAAAAACAATGGAAGTGTAACAACAGATGGGAAGTGGAGGGGAATTGGGCCTGTCTGTCGGTCTGACGATTATGTAGCCGCCGTTGCCGCCCCGTCGCCGCATGTCGTCTGGGCCGGTCAGGATGGTAACCTCTTTTCGGTGCGCTCGAGGAGGAGGAGGAGGAGGAGGAGGAGGAGGAGGAGGAGGAGGAGGAAGGGGAGGGGGAGGAGGAGGAGGAGGAGGAGGAGGAGGAGGAGGAGGAAGCCCATCTGGCCTCTGGCGGGCCGGGGCCGTGAACGATCATCCGTTCGGCCTGATCGTTCGATCGCGCCGATCGACTCACGCCAATCGTGATCGGCCGCCCGCGGGGCCGGGCTCGCGCGCCGCGGCGGGTCGGCGATAGCCGACGCCGCAGCCGCGACCCTGCGCCTGGCTGCGCGCCCGCTGGCGCGCCACGTGGGGCCAGACGCCTCTGGAGCCCGCCTGGCACAGGCGGGAGAGGGCACGCCGCTCCTCGGCGAGGGCCCTGCTGCGCGTGGTGGAGGCGGCCAACGTCCTCAACAGCCACCACTCAGCGCAGCAGCACCAGCGCCAGCAGCAGCACCAGCGCAGCCGCAGCAGCAGCGAGATGACGATGAAGGCGCAGCAGCAGCACCAGCGCAGGCGCAGCAGCAGCGCCAGAGACTGGTCAGGAGACATCGGTGCCATCGGAGGGCGACCCTGGGAGTGGGCCCGCGATGACAGCCAGCACCACCAGCGCCAGCGCAACGGATACCAGCAGCACAATGCACAGAGGCGGCAGCACAGCCAGCAGCAGCAGCAGCAGCCTCAGACCCACAAGCACCACCACCAGCCAGCCCAACACCAGCACCAGCAAAAGCACCCACAGCACCAGCAGCGAAGCGACAGCGACCAGCACTGGAAGCACAGCGCACCATGGAGGAGCGCCTCAGCCAGAAGGAGAAGCAGCAGGCGCAAAAGAAGGGACCAGCTCGACACTCCTCCCTCAGCCTACATCGGCAGCTTCCAGTACAGCCCCCAGCAGAAGGCAGTCCTGGACAGCATCACGCCAGTCTCCTTCGCCGTCGCGATGGAGCACGAGAGCTGGTCCGCACCACCAGATGACGAGGAGATGAGGTTCGTGTGGTACAAGACGAAGTGCCACAGGCTGGGCCGCCTCTCCGAGAACATCGCTGGCGCTAGGCTGGCGGGCTTGTGCACAACCAGCCTCGAGCAGGAAGCGGCGATCACCGCCACGAACATCTCCTTCGTCCTGCCCCACAAAGAGCGCATGAAGCAGCTCAGGGCTACGCTGGAAAAGCTGGAGGAGGAGCATGCTGAGATGGAGAAGCGGCTCAGCAAGATGCTCGACCAGGAGGCGACGGCCGCCAGAACCATCAGGGTCTACAAGACCCTGATGAGGGAAACCAGAGATCAAATGGCAAAGTCGGCGGGCGTAAAGGAGGAATCGTCAGAGGAAGAGGGGGGCCAGGATCCCACCAGAGGACGCACGCCACACCCGGCCGCGAGGAGGAGGCGCGACCCATCTGCAGCCCCAGCGGCACCAGCCACAGCCCAGCCAGCCACAGCTCAGCCAGCCTCAGCAGCTCAGCAGCCACGGCCAGCCCCAGCAGCACCAGACGAGATCAAAGACGCCATCAGGAGACTGACCGAGAGGCTCGACTCGCAGCAGAAAAAGGAACAGCAGCGAAGCGACCTGCTGGCACAAGCAGAGCTCAAGCACAAAAGCGAGCTGAAGGCCTACGAGCAGACCATGGCGCAAAAGATGTACCACACGACCGAAGTGCAGCTGGCCAAGCAGGAGGAGTGGCACACATGGGAGGTTAACGCGCTCAAGCGGCATCACAACGCCAAGCTGGAGGAGGAGGAAGCGAAAGCATACGAAGCACAAAGAGGCACCCAGAGGGCACAGGAGGAAAGGGCCAAAGGGATGCTCGTGGACTTGCAAATGCATATTGAGTTGGAAAAGAAGACACTACGCGAGGAGATGCACAAGGAAGACCAGAGAAGAGCAGCCATCTACACGCAGCAGGTCCAGAAGGCCAGGCAGGAAGAGCAAGCTGTGAGACAGATGGCGGCTCAGGAGGCCCAGTGGTACAAGATGGCGCAGGAGCACAACGAAAAGGCGACGCAGGAGATGGCGGAGGCGGAGTGCCAGGAGCGATGCGCCCGTCGCAGCGCTTACAAGGATGAGGAGCTGCGGATCGCAGTGAACTACCAGCAGATGGCCTACGAGCACCAGGAAGAAGCCAACAGGCGCGAAGCGATGCGGGTCGTCCTGAACCTGGAGCACGCAGCCATCCAGGCGAAGGCATACGAGATGCAACACGAGCAGGAAAAGTACCTGGAGCGCGTCGGGGAGCACCAGGAGGCGGTGGACAAAGCCCACAGGATGGAGGAGGTGGCACTGCAGCGACAAGCAGCGGCCACAAGCGAGCTCCAGGCACTACAGCATCAGCAGGAGGTGGAGAACCAAGTGGCGCAGCAGTACCACAGCACTCTGCAGCGCCAGCACCAGCAGGAGATGCAGGCCGTGGCGCAGCACTACGCCCACAACCAGTATATGAGCGACGCGCAGAGGCAGCAGCAACTACAAGACCTCCAACGCGCACATGATTTGCAAACGGCAGGACTCCAGAACGCACTACGGGACGCCTGGGGGCAGGAGGACAAGTGGACGAGGACTTGCTAATCGACATGACGGACGACCTCATGGAAGACCCAGTCACGAGTGAGCGCGACCAAGGCATGGCGGAGCAGGAGGGCGCGTACCAGAGGGAGCAACTGGAGGCAGACTTACTTCGGCTACTACCTAGCCAGTACGAACTCCCACACCCAGAACTACCGCCGTACCTCGAGGAGCTGGCCGAGGTGGGATTTGGAGAGAGGTCCCACACATCGTCGATGCCAACGCCAGAGGAGCCTACCCTCCCGTCGCGCGACGACCTCAGCTTCCAGGACCAAAGCTTCGTGCCGAGGACATCCGCCGAAGAGTGTCCGCTACCTCCACCACCACCTCAGCAGCGCCCGCACATCGAGGAGCACAACAGCGTCGGCTCATTCTCGCACTCAGGGCTGCTCGACGTACGGGCGAGCAGCGACTGCATCCCAATTGGCGAATCCGACGACGCCGACCTGCAGGACGAAGAGACGAAGATCCGCCAAGGCCTGCGCAAGGAGAAGGAGGACGAAGCCCCGACAGACATCGCCTCACTCTCACCAACGATACCAGCCGACTCACCCATCCCGACAGAACAGCCCACGCCAAGACACATACTTTTTCCGCCCGTCACGCCTCTCACGCCAAACAAGACCCCACAACAGCGATCCCAGCCAGCCAAAACCCCCATGACGACGCTGTTCATCGACCTCAGCCGCGACGAGGAGGCTTGCCCCAGCACACCTCCACGGATGCCGATTGAGGACACCACGCCCACCGAGCCACACGAGCCACGGCTGCCACCACCGCGATTCCACTTGGGCACGCCAGAGAGGGCGAGCTCGGCCCCTCCATGCAGAGCTAACCTGAAGCAGCCAAGGGAGCCCAGGAG